TAGGGAAACTCAGCTCCAAGGAGAACTCACCTGGGCCCTCCCTTAATGACTCTCTCAAACTCCCTTAGTGAGCTGGCGGGAAAGAAGCCCAACACACCACCCTATTCTCCATCAGACCCTTGCACAACCTCCTGGCCTTCTAGAACCACACAGATCTGGGTCTCAGTGCTCTCCTGCTCTTGTCCTGGACAGTGAGAGGAAGCAGCAGGGTTGGGCCCTCATGATCAAAGCTGAGCTCCTCAGAAGCCCTAATCTTCTGGCCCTGCAGCTTTGAACACCCAACCCCAAAAGATATCCCTCATGTCGATCCAGTTTGGTGGTTCTGAACTAAGTCTAAGACCCCAGCCTCATGCCCCAGATGCCACTCCTCGTGAGCCAGCTGCACCATCCATTCTGGATGCTTCCGCACAGCACAGAACCTGTCAAGATGGCAGCGGCTTTGTTGATAAGCTCCTCCCTCTGAGGGACCAAGGGCAGCATTCAGCAGGCGTCAAGTTGGGTGGTCTTTGCCCAGAAGAAAACACAACAAAGTGGCGGGCGGGCAAGGTGCCCGCGTTCTGCCACGATGGAGTTTTGGAGAAGTTTCTCCACGTGGAGGAGAGGTGCTGCTGCAAGAGAGGCAGTGGCACACAGAGGCCTGCAGCCACCAAGCACGCCTCCCGTGGAAAGCTCTGAGCATTCTCTGGGAAAACTCCTGCCAAGAGGCTTCAGCCATTTCATTCAAGCCCAGCTTGAATCATTGCTCTGACTGTGCTGGAATGTGGCTGCCTGTGAGAAGAGGCACAAAGAGGGTTGCCATTCCCACGATGGGGGCGGGGGGACACCACTTCTGTGTGATGTCATCACACCGGGCCCATCATGCGGGGGATGCTCTATCATTTGGGTAAAAGCTCTATGGTGACCATAAAGTTTTTTTTACCCGAACGCTAGAGCGTCCCCTGAAAGACGTGCCCAGCGTGATGATGTCACTTCTGGGTGATGTCATCGCAGTGCGCTTCGTCCACGTGCCGGAAGACCCAAGGAGCTGGGCTGGAGCCCCCCGCCGGGACCCTGGGAAGACCTGGCAACCCAAGGCACAAAGTACAATGCACAGTCTAGAACAATCAATAAGGGAGCAAGGGAGGGACGATGTATTATGAGATGCAATTATGCACAGGACTGTGTGTCCTTTGCACTTCAAAAATAATTCTGCAACATCCAAAGCTGCATTCTGGGCTCTCTGTGTGAGGCAAACTAAGCAAACGGGCATGTTTGCTCTTATACCGCATGACTTAATTCTTCCCTGGCGTTAATGGAGAAAGAGAGGAGCTACCCAAGGCGCTGAAGCTCTGCCCTCTGGAAGGTTAGTTCAGCAGCTTCTCCCAGCATGCATTTGCAGCCATGAGGCTTGCAGGTTGCCTTTTTAGGGAAGATCAAAGCCAAGGAGCGGGACTCAAAGGCCAGCCTCGGTGTCTGCGGCTATTCGGCATGCCACAGTCTAGAACACACACAGATCTGGTTCGAGGCAGTCATGTTTATTAATTTTATTTATTAAAACATGGGTAACCCCACCTTTCCTCTTGGCTCAAGATGGCTTACGGATAACAGTTAAAACATTACTAATTAAAATCAAATTCAATTCTAAAACCCAAAGATCTCTCCAGTCAAAAGCCCCAGCAAACAAGCAAGCCTTGAGGCTCCTTCTGAAGATCTCCAGTGAGGAGATCCCCTCGCCTCTTCAGGAAGCCCATTCCACAGAATGGGGGCTGTAATGGAAAAGACCTGGGCTCTGGTTCATGCCAGGTGGGTCACCCTGAGTGGGGGAGGAGCAGGCAAGTGGCAGCTTGAAGACTGTAGCTGGTGCATGGGAAGCACCCTTAGTGGAGAAACAAAACTGCCAACCAATGTCACAGGATTGAAATGGGCAAGGTATGTTCCCGTGTTTGCCCTGCCATGCCAACCAATGTCACAGGTTTGAAATGGGCAAGTGTCATGATCTGGGCTGTACCACCGGAGGCCTAGTAGGCCCAGGGAGCCTGGCTAGCAGTAGGGGTCGCTGGGCCTACAAACCCCAGAAGCCCTTGGGAAGTTTTGGTGCCAATTTTGTCCAATAGGGAAGAAGAGGGCTGGGGAATAAAAGAACTGGTGCAAGAGGAGAAGCTGTTCTTCTTCCCAGGGAACAGGGCCAGAAGGAAGGCTGCTGTGGGGAAGAAACCCTCATCCTGAGGGAAGGCTGAGTAGTCTAAGGCCACTTGAGATAGTGAGCTAGGGACAGTACATTTAGAACCATTAGGGCATTTGATTTCTTTTCACCCACTTACTGTTAGTATTCCTGTACCTTGTTTGTTTGACCTCCTATAAAATAAACCTTTTCCTTGTTGTTTACTCTGCCTGGTCCTCTTGCCTATTATTCGGCCAAAAGGGAGGTCTGAAGGTCTTGGGAGGGTGCTCTGGGCCTTCTCAAGGGATCCTAAATCCAGAGTGGTGGCAGCGTCAGGTGACACCCCACCTGAGCCGTGACAGCAAGGTATGTTCCTGTGTTCACGGAGGTGCTCTATTTCCCTGCCATTTTGGCCCAGAAAAATGGCATGAGAGAGAAGGCTGAAGTCCCCACCCTACCCAGGCTACCCTTGTGCTCCACTCCCAAGCTGATTCAGGCTCCGGAGTACTTGGAAATGTTAATTCCCTAAACTCATGCATGACTGCAAGTTGGGTCGATGTGCCCCAAGTCACATGTACTGTGTGGTTTGGCCCTAAGACATTAGCCCAGGAGAAAACCATGGAGGGAAGGCAGAGCAGAGTGAGAGCTGAACACAAAGTATGACCCTTCCTAGAGGGTGGTTGGTTGGTTGGTTGGTTAGTTGGTTGGAGGATGGGTGGTTAGTCCACCTAAGACCTGTATGAAAACTACTACTCCTGTTTAGTGCTTCAAGAGGTGACCAGGCAACAAATATGTTCCGAAAAGATCTGTGGTCCCAGAAGTAAACCAGAGACACCTCAAGGCACATTCCCACGGATCGCTTACACCATTTCATGCAACCAGACCGCTAATAGTACAAAGTAATTCCCTACAAATGGCAGGCTGTTTCCATCTGAGCAAGCACGGGATGTTGGCAACCACAGAATCCTCTCTCAACCAAAAAACAAAAGGTCTGAGAGCCATTCAGAAGAAGCACAGGGTGCCTGGCAGCATTGACTACCAGGGCCCAACCTTTTCGAACCCAGCATTCATACTTTTAACAACCTTAATTCTTACTAGGCTTTTCTTTTGCCCTCCCTACTTGGGTCTTTCTCCTTCTAAAGAATCCTAAAGGGAAACACATTTTAACAAGAAAACCAGTTAGTGCTGCTGCAGGTGCAATCCACCACTGCGCACCCAACTCAGGGGTCCCCAGCAGAAAAAGGGGAAACGATCCACAGGATTCCTGATGCACCCTGACCCCAGCCACTCCCACCATCACCCCAGGTAAAGGTGTGCCTCCCATAAACCTTAGCTAAACACAACCCAGGCAAACTGCAAAAGGGCGGAGGGAGAAAGCCTCCAGTCTCGCCCCCCCCCCCAGCCGATCCCACACACCACAGAGCCCTGGCCTTGAGGTTAGCTTAAACGTGCATGCGGTGCTCAGACCCAGAAAACACTTACAGCCTCCTGCTCTTTCTCGGTTTTTTTCGCCGCTAAAGGTTTGTCTTCATCTTTGACCTGAGGAAGCCCAACAGAGAAGAAGGAAGTATTTCATGGATGCAGCGTTAGGATGCTCCATTGCAACACACACAGACCGACACACACGCCACACTTTTCTGCTAGCACATTCCAAGCAGGTCTAAGCCCCTTCCCCCAGCACGTGGCAGTTGTCATAAACACTGAGGGGAAAGGGAGAGGGGTTCCTGACAGGTCCCCTTTTAATGCGAGTGACCCCCAGAAAGCCAGAAAGCATAAAAAGAGACTCTTGAAGGAGGACAGAGAAACAGCCAGGCTCGTGGGGAAACGGGGTCCTCCTGGAGGACGCCCTTTGGCATTAAGGCTAACCTGGGCCAAATGTTTACATCTTTTTTCCCCAATTATTTCAATGTTTTGTGAAGGAAGGGGGGGGGGAAGCAGCTTTATCAGACCACACTGCTTCCCTCCTACTATGAATATTTGTGAGTCCCCTAACAAAACTGAAAAAACGCTTAACTTGCCACCTCGTTGAGAGACACTGTTTGCTCAGAAACTTGCTCATGGAAAATTCTAGGTCAGTGATGGAGAACCTTTTAGAGACCGAGTGCCCTAACTGCGACCCAAAACCCACTTATTTATCGCAAAGGGCCAACACGGCAATTTAACCTGAATACTGAGGTTTTACTTTAGAAACTTTATTTCTACATTAACTTAAGATGATCCAAACAAAGTAAGGAAAGCAATCCCAAATGCTTTCATTTACTTAAAATTATTTGGCAGAGAGTTCGACACTTTAATGACGGTCTGGGCCTGGCTGGGGCGATGGCACGCGTGCCCACAGAGAGGGCTCTGAGTGTCACCTCTGGCACCCGTGGCATAGGTTTGCCACCACTGTTCTAGGTTGTGGAAGATTCTAGAGACTGATCCTAGGAATATTTCCTCAGAAGTAAGCCACACTTCACACAATGGAGCTTGTGCACAACCACACCCTTCACATAAGTGTGCCACTGTGAGAAAGAGACTAGGCCAGATGGCAAACGGCTACTGGCTTGCCTAGTTTTGTGGGCTACATGAGCACATGTGTTGGGTGTTGACAGGGATCTTGCTTTAATTTTTTTTTAACTGAACTCTTAAACTGGCATCTGCTTTGGAAAGCAGATGCATGGTGGTGGAGTGTGCTTTGAAAACCTACAGCTGGAATAGCGCCATCCACTTCCATGGTTCCAGGGTCTACTATGTAGCTAAGAAATTGGGAGATCTCTCTAAATCAGCCCTGGAGCAGGAGGCTGTACTATGACACTGGCAAACTAGACAATTTTCACACACAGTAATCAGAGATACATATGGGCCCCTCCACAGGGGTGGTGCCAGGTTAAAATGGCTGCCAGGTAGCCTGGGGAGGTGATTAGGACAAAAGGAGTTTTCCCCCATGCTTTTTCCTCAAGATCTTTTCTTCCCGATTATACCAAGAGAAAAACTGAAAATTTCGGGGAATGCTGAAAAACACCTCAAGTGAAATTTTCTTTTAGAATGAATGGAATGCTTTTTAAGACAAGGTTTTACTAAAACTGTGGAATGAAGATTTTCATGCAGGACAATCTACAGCATTAGATAACAATTACTTCCATGTATACTTTAGACGATATATACATGTAAGTAAAGGTAAAGGTTCCCTTGCTCGAAAGCCAGTCGAGAATCCGACTCTAGGGTTCCGGTGTTCATCTCCGTTTCAAAGCCGAAGAGCCAGCGCTGTCCAAAGACATTTCCGTGGTCATGTGGCCGGCATGACTAAACACCAAGGCACACGGAACGCTGTCACCTTCCCACCGAAGTGGTACCTATTTATCTACTTGCAATTTCTTGCTTTCAAACTGCTAGGTTGGCAGGAGCTGGAACTAGAGACGGGAGCTCACTCCGTCATGCGGCAACTTGGGTCTCGAACTGCTGAACTACTGACCTTCCACAGCCTGCAGTTCAGTGTCTTAACCACTTGTATATGTATATATATAGCCATCAAGTCACAACTGGCTTCTGGCGACTCCATAGGGTTTTCAAGGCAAGAGACATTCAAAGGTGGTTTGCCATTGCCTGTCTCTGTATCCTGACCCTGGTATTCCTTGGAGGTCTCCCATCCAACTATGATCAGGGCCGACCCTGCTTCTGAGATCTGATGAGATTGGGGTAGCCTGGGCTATCCAGGTCAGGGCACATGTTGTATACATTTTTAAGGACATCTTTACTGTTTAAACGTGACTGATTTTGTCCACAATTAATATCCTACTTTGTGTATAACAAATGTTGTGTCCAGTGGCACATTTAAGACCAACCAAGTTTTATTCAAGGCGTGAGCTTTCGTGTGTACACACACTTCCTCAGAAACATTGGAATGGCGGCTAGCAGTGCATACACACACAAACAGACACACACATACGGATGCCTCTACATTGGTGAACAGCAAATTAGAATACAACTTAATGAAGATGTTTTGACATATGCAAAGGCCAAATAGCAACAGGGTGTGAGCTTGCATACATCAAAACATCAAGCTCACACCTTGAATGAAACTGTGTTGGTCTTAAAAGATGCCACTGGACTCAAAATTTGTTCTACTGCTTCAGACCAACATGGCTGCCTACTTGGATCTATTATGTGTATGATGACAGTCAGGGCTCTTTTTGCAGAAAAAGCCCAGCAGGAACTCATTAGCCTAATAGGCCACACCTAACAGCAGGAACTCATTAGCATATTAGGCCACACCCCTGACAGCACAGCTCATTAGCGCATTAGGCTGCACCTCCATGTTACTGGAAGTGTGGTCATCCAGCCAGACCCACCTTTTGCTTCTTATTCTGTTTACCTTGTTTGTTGTCAAAACCCAGGGCTTTTTGCATGTTAGGCCACACACCCCTAATGTAGCCAATCCTAATGAGTTTCTGCTGTTAGGTGTGGCCTGTTATGCTAATGAGTTCCTGCTGGGCGTGGTCAACTCGGGACCCAGCTGGAACTCCGTTCCTGTGCGTTCCTGCCCCAAAATAGCCCTGATGACAGTACATTACTGAGGAGTTAAGGACATAAGGCCTGCTGGCTCAGAGCAGTGGCCCATCTAGTCCAGCATCCTGTTTCACACAGTGGTCAACCAGGTGTCCTGGCGGGGGGCAACAAACAGGGCAGAGGCCAAAGCCTTTCCCTGAACAATGTTCCCAGTTTTACAGAGTTGAACTCAAAGCCAAATAACCCTAACACTAGAAAAGCTGGTTTCTATTTTCAACTTTTATTTTTTTCCTACCTGCCGTTCCTACAAAAACGTGTGCGCTAAGGGAGTAAAAAGCGCAAGAGTCTGCAGGGCCCTATCTCTCTCTCTCAAGTATTGCGCATATTCACAGATTAGCTTGCAGAAAATTAAGGCATTTATACTTCTTAAATTCCATAATGTGCCAGAGACTACAAATTTGTATGCTAATGAAGTTATACATAATGTATTTTATGCTGTTCAAGGAAGTATTTCCATTTTTCCCAGGGGGGGAAAAGGGTTTTCCCTGGGTATCAAAATTACCAGAAACTTAACATCTCAACTCTCGGGCCACTGAAGCCATGCAAGGGTACGATGCGTGGGAGAGGAGCAAAAACACACACTTCTTGTTCCTGCACACCCGGGTTTCAGCATCTTCGCAGGTCTCAGCTCATCAACGGCTGTTAAAAATCACATTCGACTCCCCCAAATGGTCTCCCCGGTGGCTGAAATTGCCTTACTGAGAGAGCCCATCGGAAGTTGTTCAAACCCAGGCTTTGCAGTAAACAGTGCTCAGGCCAGCTGAGCGGCTCTGAAAAACGGTGGGGTTAGTAAACCAGTTATTCTGCAGGCAGGTTATTCCAAACAGGTGCTGTGCAAAGGGCTTGGAGGGGGTGGCTTCCAGGTAGCTCCACTCAGCATTTGGGGGCTTCCGGGAGAAGGTGAGGGGGGCGGGTTTCCCCTGAGCAATCTCTGCTCTGAACACGAGCCAGAAGGGCCCCCCCGGCACTGCCATCCACTAGACTGCCAGTGTGACCTGTGACATATCGGAGCCACCGCCCTCCAGTGCCAACACCAGGCAAAACTCAGGACCCCCCTCCCCCCACTCATCTTGAACATGCGGCTGTCATGAATGCAAGAATTCCCAAGTGCCCCAGGTGTGGGGGAGGGAGGGACCATAAGTGGCAACCACAACAGCCAAGAAAGACTTCCCTTTTGCTCCCAGAATGCAAACCGCGACGAAAAGGCCATGGCCGCAGCTGTGTGGAGGTGGAAGCCTGCAGCCCTGACTGGGAGGAGGAGGGAGAGAAAGGGGAGAAAAGGTCAGAGTGCAGCAGAGAAGAAGCCTTCGTAAGAGCCCCGCCTGAGCGCCAGACTGGCAGCCGCTGGGGAGGCTATCCGAGGACCCAAAACGGGGGCAGGAAAAGGCAACTGTGAGCCACAGAAAGTGAGCCACAAAGCCGGGATATTGACATTTGAGAAATGCAACTCCCCCTCCAAAGTCTGCAGCCGTCCCTCCACCTCTAACGCGCCCCCAGCGCAGCAGTTCTCGGTTCACAGGTGTGTGGGACTGAGACTGCCAGGGGTTGCTGGGCGGTAACTTCAGCAGGCCCCAAGAGAGCAGCAACCCGCATGGAGTATCACTACGCTAATTGTGGAAACAGTCCATTCTTGTTTCCCAGCTGCACCTTGGGCTGCTATTAACACGTCCTCCGGGTGTCTTCCACTGCCACCAGTGTTCCCTCGAAGCTGAGTTAGTGTGAGCTAGCTCACAGTTTTTTAGCCTCCGGCTCACACATTTTTGTCTTAGCTCAGGAAGGGATGGCTCCAGAGCAAACTAATTTATGCAGTAGCCAAATCGCTCGCTCACAAGTTTAATGCCAGTAGCTCACAAAGCAGAATTTTTGCTCACAAGACTCCACGACTTAGAGGGAACATTGACTGCCACCGTTCTAGATTTGGTTCTGAGTTACCAAGAGCCAAAATAGGCAAGACGCCAGGAGATCAACCATCGGAACACCCACAAGTTTTTGTTTTTTTAATGGCCGCCTGAACATTTCCTCCATTGCTTCCACCCCGATAAAATTGCCCCGGCTGTTTCCCCTAGATGGAAAAGCATATGGCGACTGTAGCTATGTGATTTCCCTTACAGGACTAACAGGAGCTTTGGGGCGGAGGACAAAACAGAGGGAAAGGGTTAAGCGGCTCCCCCCTCCCCAAGTGTGGACACACTGAACTTCAAAAGAGAAAAAAAGCAAAACACGGATCACCTAGGACCCCAGGTCAGAGCCAATGCAGCACTCTCCTGGTCCCCTGGACCTGCCCATTGTTACAGTCAAGACAGCATAGCCTGTTCAGGACTGCAAACTTGGGAAAAGGAAGACAGAGACAGGGGAGGGGCTTTTCCATGAAAGGAGGGAGGGATTTCTGACCCGACCCAGAGGTGTGCCTGGCACAGCGGAGAGACCCCATCCGTTTCACAGTCACACGTAGACATATATGGCTAGCGGACAGAGCACACACAAAAAGGCAAAACCATTCCCTTGCCGGTGGTGGCCAAAAACAATTGTCCTTGCTCAATACAAGTGACAGGCGGCAGGATTCAGAAGGACAAAAGGGAAAGCCGTTCTGGCCACATTGCCGGCAGTAATCAACAGCCACAGGCTACCATAAATAGCCACTCGCTTCTTAGAAAGTGACCAGGGTCCCACTGACTGGGTCACTCACAGGATGACTGGAAATTGTCAGGGTCCATCCCTGCCAGCTGGAGGCCCTGAAATATTGTACTTTTATGAGCCTCAAACAGGGATGGGGGGGGGGGGTTTTAAGAGTATCTTAAAAAGTCTAGGACACTGACACCCCCCCCCCCCCCCCCCAAGTTGGTGTTTGGTACACACACTAGCCCACCCACCCAATACTGATTTATAGAATAAAGTCTGAACCCAGGGGCAAAGTTGCACTTAGCTGTCAAAATCTGGGGCATCAGGTATACCTCAGAAGGGAGGTCAGCATTCTGTTAGACCGCAAGCCCTGTTGGTAGAAAGGGGCAAAACCAACAACAATAACCCCCAAACACACCGTGATTCAGACTTCCAGAATGCCAACAATATTTGCTAGTGCAAATATAGAAACATAACACACACGCACACAACAGCTGCTGGCCAGGATAGCCAAAAACATACTCAGGGAGAATGGCTTCCCTATTGGGAGGCAAAACGCTGGCTGGAACAGGGGCCCAATCCACCACGGGCCTCCCTCCCAGATGCATCCTAGCAAAGAGTAGATTCAGGAAGCACAAATGGAGACCTCAAGAAGGAGGAGGCCCATTCACTCGCCTGCTCTGGACATGAAAGGGCTGGTCTCAGAAAGGCTAGGCCCAAAGGCACACAACCAAGGCACACTGGCCTGATCCGAAATCAAGCATTTGGAACCAACTAGCTTCCTCCAGAGTTTTCCTCAGAAGGTCATGAGGCTCAACTCTTCTCCAGCACTGGGTTGCCGTGGGGAATGGCAACCCCACCCCCTTGTAAAGTGAGTGACGGAATGGGATCCGGCACAGTGAATGTGGCAACACCCCAGTAAATAAGGCCTTGCTTGAGTCTTGTTGGGCACAGGCTGCAGTAGCAGGGGGCAGACCTTTCTTCTCTGTGAGACAGCAGGCACTGGGGAACCCGGCCTTTACCACACGGCATGCCTTCCCTTATATCTCATTCCAGGCAGACGGAGCCCTTTGCTCAGCAGTTATTCTGAGGGGCTGACTCTGTGTCAGGTGCCATGGCTGGAGCCTCTTGCAGAGAGACAGAGAGAGAGAGAGAGAGAGGACTACGCCCGCGGCACCAAGACAACCTTTGGTGATCACCCCCAACAACTACCCCAGCGCCCAGTGACGGGAGGCGCTATTCTTCTTGCAGAGGAACAAGCCCTTTGGACTCCTCAAGTGTCAGCTTCCTTTGTCTCTGGTGGCTACCCCAAAGCACTGTAGCCCCACACTTCCTGCCTGCCCGAAGTTCCCACTCGGCCTCTTGGCCCAAACTCTGGCTTCCAAAACCTCACCAGTTTCTGCCCTCTCATTTTCAAGCGCATCTCAACCGTCGTGAGGTTGGGAAACGTTGCTTTTGATAAAACAGGAAATCCTCAGGCCACAAAGACTCTACACACCCGTCGCTCGTGAGATACAAATGTCTGAGAGTGGAATGCTCAGAGGTACCTGTGCTCTCTGCTAGGGAGGGTTCCTTCCACTCCACGTCAAGAACTCTCCGGAGTCTCTCCCTAGCAAGTTGGGATACCCTGGCTACAGGAGCCATTCACGGGCCTTAGTAACTAGCGCACCAGCCTCAGAAAGCACCTGAGCGGGCCCTTTCGCGAGAGATCGACCCAGCGCACACACGCCACTTAAGAGTTTCTACTAGAAGTTAAACAAACTGAAGTTAGAGTTTCCCAAGGTGGTTAGCCCCCCCCCCCCCCCCCCCCCCCATTAACGCACTCCCCAAACAGCATACAGGGCAATGGAGCCAGCCACAGGAGACAGTGGGGTTTCGCAACCACCAGCCTCACTCAAGAGTTGCCCAGGACTCCATACACAGCGGTGGGGTGGGATCAAGCCATTTGCAGCCACAAAAATCAATGACTCTCTGCTCGGAAGCAACTACAGACGGGGGGGGGGGGGCGCCACCCAACGCTGGCCTACTCCTGGCCGCTTCACAGCAGCCAGAGCTCACACACTCCCCCCCCCATGCCTCCACCCACCCACCCACTCAAAAGACCCACTTTGCCACCGTTAGAGTGAGCATATTACCTGGAAGGTTTTCTACCTTACCGAGGGCCGGGGGAGGCCGGAGCCCCAGGGAGAGACTCCGCAGAGCAGCGCGCTTCGGCCGGGCTTCCGTTGGAAAGAGAGCGGACGAAACGCGATAGGTAACTTAAGTGCCACTTCCCTGCGCAAGGACGAGTGGCAGAGGGACAGCTGAGCTGATACAGTCAGCCTAAAAATAGCCAAGAATGTGAAACAGCGGGGCGAGGGGGGGCACTCTGCTGCTGCCCAGCTGCCCCCGGTCTCAGCCTTGAACAAGGAGAGCTTTTACAGTCATTGGGGGGGGGGGAAGAGAGCCACATTTGATGGGGCTGGTGAAGCCGTTATTTTTTTTAAAAAAAAGGAAGGAGAGAAAAAGCCGCATCACAGACCAGAAAGAGGAAGTGATGTGGGCGTCTGGCAGCCGAACCTTTTGTGCTCCTGCATTGCAGGAAACCACGCGGGGAGTTTGGCAGCGCCTCAAGCCGAGGCAGGACCGTGGTCTCATGCGCACGGCCAAAGAGCGAGTGGACAGGGCACGGTGCCTGTAACGCTGCCTGTGCAATCGCGAGCTGGGAGAGGGAATCGGCAACCCCCCAAAACGCAGTCTGACGATAAGCTGACGCATCAACAGGTGCACGGCTTGCCCCGCATTTTGCACGCGGCAAGAGTTAGACTCCTGAGCTCACTTCGGCAGGGGAAGTCCTCCTTTCAGGCACCAGTGAGCTGCTTCAGCAGAATGACATGCTCTAATTTTATAGGCTCCTGTGACGTTCCCTTCAGCGCTTCACAGTTGCCGTTGTCTGGTTTCTTACAACAGGGGGGCTCTCGGTTTGCTTGTACCCTCTAGTCACGGGAAGAGAGAGAGTGCTCTGTTTGCACCCTCCTGCCTGGAAAAGAGAAAGATGTTCTTGGGAGGGAATTGTCCCACCTCTTGCCTTGGGGCAACTGTCCTCTAGTTCCAGCGGAGCCACCAACACATCAAGAAAAGAGCAGTGGAACAATCTGCCACGGGTCATACCACGTTCAATCCTCAAGCAAAGGCGTGGACTAAGCAATCTATTCCGATTCGGACCTATAGAACTGAAGATGCTGCAATAAAGCTACCTGCCAAATATATCGCCAGTTCTCTGGCTATCAATGGAAATAAAAATCAAGGACTTCCCTCCCACTTGAATTGGGAAGGGCTACATTGCAAAAGGCGCGATGGCACAGGCCAAGGAGCTGGTCTCATTGGGGCCAACAGAAAGGTAGCAACACTGGGCAGCACTGCCAGTGCCCCGTTGGATGGAGGGCACAAACACCTCCCACTTTCCATTCTTTGCCATACTCTATAAAACCTGGCAGCGGTGAGCCCTGCTCAAATCCCGGGACCAAGTGACAGACACAGATCAACAGTTCCAATGGTTGCCCAGACGTGGATAGCCCAGGCAGGCCCAATCTCTTCAGATCTCAGAAGCTAAGCAAGATCGACTCTGGCAAGTACTTGGATGGGAGACCTCCTTGGAATACCAGCAGTTGGGAGGTGGGGGCAGGCTTTATCCAGCCACCTCTCTGAATAGCCTCCAGGCCCCCAGTAGGGGTCAGTTACCAGAGGTTGCCAAGACTTCCAGGTGCGCACACACACTCACACACACACGCACATATGAAAAAAGACAAAAAAATACTCCAAAAAAACTAGTTCTAATGGCGGGAGGGTTCTGAGATCTCTCAGATAGGGATACTGAGGCTGACTGTCTCAGGCACTGATTGCATGAGACTGAAGCCCTATTTCAAGACGTTTTTTTTTTTTTTTTTAAGGGAGAACTGTGAGCCCTGACCATTAAATGGAACCTCCACGTCTAGAAGCAGTCTGCTCACAAGTTCCAGAAACTAAGGGCAAGTATGGTGCTTGTAACTGTTTCTGTGCGTCAACGAACAAGTCTCTTTTTCTGCGCTTAACTCTTCCCCTTGTACCCCTATTTCATTTGGTCTCTTCTTGGAGACAAACTTAAGCTACCCCCCCCCCCCTCTGACTCCTGCTTGCTTCAATCACACACACGCTTCTGTCTCTGCAACAGGCCTGTGTAAAGTCACATCTCCCTTGGCAGGGAATGCCTCAGTTCTGCTGCCGCTGACAGAAGCGCTATAAATAGGCATGGAGCGCAGGAACACTGCCAGCGCTGAGGGGTGGGAGGAGATGGGGGCTGAAAGGAAGCAAACCCATTCAAGGGCTCAGTCTGGACTAAGGCCTCTTCCCAACTAAGATGAGCCCCCTCCCCCTCACTCTCTCTCTCCCCTCCATAAACTTAATTTCTCCAGATAAGAAGCTATCAGCTGAATCCCACATTTTTGGCCTCCAAAACCTCCCAAAGGCCTTCAAATTCATCTCCACCATTACAGAACCAGATTAAGAAAGGGCCACAGCAGCAGAGCGCATGGCGCTTACAGAACCGCAGTGTGACCAGGACTCCTTGTGCGTGCAAGCAAGTCATGCCACGCACTAATGGACAGGCGTCCATCTCCCCGCTATGCTAAACGTGCCCCTGACCGGGTGATCTGCTCAATCTTTGGACTGGGGAGGCTGTTCAAGAAGTACCTGAGGGGTTTTTGCTTGAACCTTTTTTGACCCTGCTTCAGAATTTTCTCTCCTGCTTTTCAGAGAAATGTGGTTTCGCTGACCAAAGCCTGTCACATGATGGCTGAACCACCACCCGGCCTCATGTATATTTGTTTGCTCATCGGCTGAACCACACAAAAGTTTACCTCTCAGCCTCCCTCGCATCATCCTCAAGAACACTGGAGGAGACAGAGCTACAACTTTTTTAAAAAATCTATATACTGCATTCCTTAGCCAGTTCTGGCTCCTCAGAAGACACTGCTTACGATTTTTAAAAATACAAAAAACACCAATAGCATCTTCAAATCAGAAGACTACAAACTCAACAAATTCTCTCTAAATAAAGCCTTTGTGGTATGACCAATGTCCGTATTTTAAGGGACCTCTTCAGGCAGTATGGGGTGCGGGGGGGAGGGGTACTTTAGTATATACAACAACCATCTGAGGTTGTTGGTTTCTGCAACTAAATCCACATTACATTCACACACTCAAAAACTAGCACAGTTACTTACTTCTTATTTAATTCATTTGTACTACATCTTTCTCCCCAATGGGGACCCAAAACAGCCTACACCTTTCTCCTCTCCTCCATTTTATCCTCACAACAACTCTGTGAGGTGGTTTAGGACTGAGAGTGTGTGACTGGCCCACAGTCATCCAAGCGAGCTTCTGTGGCACAATCAGGGATTCGAACTTGGCTCTCCTACATACTATTCCAACACTACACCACACTGGCTCTCAAACACTGTTTTACGGGCCTTCTTCAAGTATGTCTGCATGTACCACAACTATACCTGCATTAACCATTAATAATCTTGCCTTCTTCAGTGCTATTTTGCATTCTAATTTCTTACTTGCAGCCTAGGGAGCACTTGGGGTACCTACCCTCAACCACAGAATCAGCATCGCTGGCAGATGGTCATCTAGCCTCTGTTTAAAAACCTCCAAAGAAGAGCCCACCACCTCCTGAGGAACCCTGTTCCACGGGGAACTAGTAGGGCTGCCAAGCCGCGGCGGGGGAGCCGCACGTCTTCACAGGATCCCTGCCGCGGGGGACAGCGATATGCGTTGCACCGCCGTCGCCAGGATGTGACGCTACGCGTCGCTCTGGCAACGGGGCTGTTTGGAGTCCCGTTGCCAGAGCGACACGTAGCGTCACATCCTGGCGACGGCGGTGCAACGCGTATTGCTGTCCCCCACATCAGGGATCCTGTGAAGACGTGCGGATCCCCCGCCGCGGCTTGGCAGCCCTAACTCTAAGTGTCAGGAAGTTCTTCCTAACGTTTAGCCAAAATCTTTTAATTTAATTTCAACCCGCTGGTTTTGGTCCAACCTTCTGCGGCAACAGAAAACAACTCCGCACCATCCTCTACGTGACAGCCCTTCATGTACTTAAAGATGGTTATCATATCACCTCTCAGTCGTCTCCTCTCCAGGCAAAACATACCCAGCTCCTTCAGCCTTTCTCCACAGGACTTGGTCTCCAGATCATCTTCGTTGCCCTCCTCTGGACCTGTTCCAGCTCGTCTATATCCTTCTTAAATTGTGGTGCCCAAAACTGAACGCAATACTCTATGTGACGTCTAACCAGAGCAGAGTAAAGTGATACCATCACTTCACATCACCTGGACACTATACTTCTGTTGATATAGCCCAAAATCGCATTTGTCCTTTTAGCTACCACATCACATGCTGACTCATGTTCAGTGTATGGTCCACTAAGACCCCTAGATCCTTTGCACACACACTACTGCCAAGACAAGTCTCCCCCAACCTATCATTATACATTTGATTTTTCCTACCTAAATGCAGAACTTTACATTTATCCCTGTTGAAAATCATTTTATTTGTTTTAGCCCAGTTTTCCAGCCTGTCAATATCATCCTGTATCCTGCCTCTGTCTTCTACCATATTTTTTACCCCTCCCAATTTAGTATCATCTGCAAATTTAATAAACATTCCCTCTATTCCTTCATCCAAATCATTTATAAAGATATTGAACAAAGCAGGTCCCAGGACACGTCCTTGAGGCACTCCACTTCTCACACCTCTCAAAGAGGATGAGGAACCATTCACAAGCACTCTCTGGGTGAAATCTGTGAACCAGTTACAGATCCACCTAACAGTAACAGGATCCAACCCTCATTTTACCAACTTGTCAACAAAAATATTATGTGGAACCTTATCAAAAGCCTTAATGAAATAAAGATAAACTGTCTACAGCATTCCCCTGATCAAGCAAGGTAGTGAACTGAGAGAGAGAGAGAGATGTGTGTGCACGCACACATGAGAGAGAGAGAGAGGGAGGGAGAGAGAGGGAGGGAGAGGGAGAGGGAGAGGGAGAGGGAGAGAGGGAGAGGGAGGTCTGAGGAAGTGTGCATGCACACAAAAGCTCACGTCTTGAATAAAAATTTGTTGGTCTTAAAGGTGCCACTGGACTCTGTTCTATTGCATCAAATCAACACGGCAGCCCACCTTGATCTGACATGACTTGTTCTTGAGAAACACATGCTGGCTCTTAGTAATCACAGCCGTCCTTTCTAAATGCTCAAGGACTGAGTATTTGATTATTTGTTCTA